GAACAGGTCTAGCTTTTAGGCACTTAGGTTTACTGTCAGGTTTAATGGCTAGCTTTACAGTGATGTCTTTCATGTTCCCCAGTTCGTCTCCGAACACCTCTGCATGCTTCCTCAGGATGTTTTGCAAACTGGTAGACTCTTTCGCTACTAAGTGCACGTCCTGCCAATTTAACTTTATTTTCTCTAGCCATGCTCGGCCCATTAGTGCTGTGTGACTACTACCGTTCACAATATACAATAGTAATTTTACCTTCTGTTTGTTCAGCTCCAAAGTCACATCCACAAGCCCTGAAAGAGGTACCAGCTCTCCTGTGTATGATTTCAGAGTCAGCTTTGCTTCCCTGGGACGGCGGTATGGCCACTTCTCTAGGTAAGCTGACTCTGCCACAAGCGATACAGCTGCTCCTGTGTCCACTTGCATAGGGACGGCCTCCCCATCCAGCAGTGGTGTCACCCAGTAGCCATCAGAATTTGAAGACACAGACATTACATTTGAGAATTCGTTTTTGTCAGATTCATCCTATTGTTTATAGTATATTCCACTTGATGTACGTGTTTCTTTTTGGATTTCCTGACATAACCTCAGGATGTTTTGCAAACTGGTAGACTCTTTCGCTACTAAGTGCACGTCCTGCCAATTTAACTTTATTTTCTCTAGCCATGCTCGGCCCATTAGTGCTGTGTGACTACTACCGTTCACAATATACAATAGTAATTTTACCTTCTGTTTGTTCAGCTCCACAGTCACATCCACAACCCCTGAAAGAGGTACCAGCTCTCCTGTGTATGATTTCAGAGTCAGCTTTGCTTCCCTGGGACGGCAGTATGGCCACTTCTCTAGGTAAGCTGACTCTGCCACAAGCGATACAGCTGCTCCTGTGTCCACTTGCATAGGGACGGCCTCCCCATCCAGCAGTGGTGTCACCCAGTAGCCATCAGAATTTGAAGACACAGACATTACATGTGAGAATTCGTTTTTGTCAGATTCATCCTATTGTTTATAGTATATTCCACTTGATGTACGTGTTTCTTTTTGGATTTCCTGACATAACCTTTCTTTGGTTCCACATATTTAGTTGGATTTTCTTTGTCATTTACTGTCAGCTTTTTGTTTTGACATGCACGTTCAATGTGCCTTTTTCTTCCAGTTTCTGCAGTCTTTGTCTTTGTACCAGCATTCCTGTATTGGATGACCACTCTTTCCACAGCGGTAACATGCTTTTTTTGCCATCCGGTTTTATTTTTTTTACTGTATACTTTGTGAACTTGACTGGATACGCTTAACTCTTGCGCCTCTTTTGCAGCCATTTCCATGGATACACTGATTTACATTGCTCGCTCTAATGTAAGATTACTTTCACATAGGAGTCGTTTTTGAATTGTCTCAAATTTGTCTCTTATTGTGTCATTCAGCGCTGTGCCAAATTCGCGGTGTTCCGACGGTCGCTTCAATATGGGAACAAATTGTGCAATCGATTCTCCCTGTAACTGATTGCGTTTATGAAAGCAAAATCTTTCAGCAATGATGAAGGGTTTTGGTGCATAATGTTCTTGGAGCATTGCTACAATGTCCTTAAATATGCAATCACCAGGCTTATTGGGCTGGACCAGGCTATTTATCAGTGTATTTTTCCACTCACTCTTTTGTAGCTGACTCATTCCTCCCGCGCCGGATTGTGTCGTCTTGTGCAGTGTGATGTGCAGCCGTCGTTTCTTTTTCTCTGTTTGCGTTATTCTCCCATCGCGATGAGATTCGCACATGTGTCTTGCCTGTAGCTTCCGACGAACGTGTGCAGCCGCTGACAGCTGAATAACACTACATCTAGGAGTGTCGCGGAAGATAAGAGCGTTTATCCTCATCGCCAGTTTTGTTACATCTTCACAAGATGACAGTGCACTGCTTTAAACGACGACACTATCACAAGCCTTTTTAACAATGCCGCTTTACTACCTGTTCACTGGTATACAGGTACCATTCAGTGTTTACTGCACATGTGCCATAATACAGAGAACTAGGGCTGTCAACAAAAAAAATTGAATTTCGAATATTCGTCGAATTTAAAATAAAAATCCACATTCTAATGCAAAAACGTTGCATTCGAATTTTAGGTGTGCGTCAAGGCCAAAGTATACTTCGGCCGTCCACGTCCGCGCACCGTCTGCATTACGTAATTTTCGTCATCAGGAGGGCTCGCGGACAGCGTCCGTGTGCAGGCCATTTATTGAGACCGCGTGGACGGTCCGCGTACAACAGCGCATGCGCGAGGTGAAAGTTGAGACAGAGCGCAAGTCAAACTGCGCCTG